TGACAATGATGATGACAGGTGGGAGAATGAGCAGGGGGTGAAGAGGAACACCCTTCCTTACAAAAGGATGTATTAAAGATCAATCATTTCTTCCTTGCTCCTTTTATATCATTCTTGAAGCTGTGCTTAAAGAAGTGAGTGTTATTCTTGTCATCACATGGACAAATGTCCCCATCCTCAACAAACGGCCTCCAGCCCATCACCATACCCAGTGGAAGAACTGGTTTGAGGAAATAAACATGCTTTGCAAACCAAACAAATACCAGAGAACCAGTCACAGGTCCACCTTTGTTTGAAACAGATCTAGAGGGCGCCTGGGTGGCTCAGTGGGTTAAAGCCTCTGCCTTCAGCTCAGGTCATGATCTCAGGGTCCTGGGATCAAGCCCTGCATCAGGCTCTCTGCTCAGCAGGGAGCCTGCTTTCCTTCCTCTCTCTCTGCCTGCTTGTGATCTCTGTCTGTCAAATGAATAAATAAAATCTTTAAAAAAAAAAAAACATCTAGAGCAGATAGGTCCTATTTAGGATTTAGAGTACTTTGCACACATAAAAACACAGGCAAACTAATTTAACTCTTTGAGAGGAAGTATATATTGTATTACTATCCAGGGTAATCAAATCAGATGGCACCATGAAAAGCACGCAGGACAAACACCAATTGTATGGATTTTCCTATCTAAATGAGTCACTATTCATTATTAACTGATCAAAGCTTTTTTTTTTTTAATTTATTTATTTGACAGAGAGAAAGAAACATCACGAGGGAATCTGGCAGGGGTAGTGGGAGAGGGAGAAGCAAGCTTCCTGCTGAGCAGGGGCCTCAACACGAGACCCCATCCCAGAACCCTGGGATCATGACCTGAGCTGAAGGCAGGCTCTTATCAGACTGAGACACTCAGGTGCCTCTGATCAAAGCTTTTTAAAAATATTTTCTAGATTTGGTTTACTGATGGCATTCTGAATTATGACCAAAATCCAGCTTGGGACTCTGTTAGGCCATATGGTTATGTGTACCTGACAGGAAAACAATGAGCTAAGTCCATTAAGGAATTCTATAAAAAAGTTTTCACAGAAACAACTGGTTCTTACAGATTTTTCAGTTCAGAGCCTTGTATAGAGGAGCAAAAAGACATAAACTCTAACTTGCTCATATAAAGATATCTCCCCTCCGGAATGAACGACAGAAATGAGGCTGCTTTCAATATAAAAGCCATGTGGTGGTTTTCTAGTTTTTATTAAATATCATGATTATTAATTCAGTCTGGGAAAGTACGAGGCATCAAATCATGTACACTAATACCACAGAAGATCAAATGCCTATCCATAAAAGAGAGAGTTTTTTGCAGTTCTCCTTGAGAACCACAATCTTATTTTTCCATTTTATGTGGAGATCATGGTTTCTCTTTAAAATAATCCTTTACAGAAGAAGACCACCCATTTTTAATTTGTCTTCTGTAACTGTGGCATGTTATAGACCCAATCAAAGTTTGTCAAAAAAAAAAAAAGTCTTCCATTTGAAAATGGATAAAACATTCATTTTCTCTAAGTAAATTTCCTCTTTCGATTCAACCATCTGGTTCTAAATTAAGGTACCCTACTTTGAACATGGGTATGCTTGCCATCTGGCTACCCGAAAGCAGCAATTACTTCAGGTAAATGAACATATACCTAATTCTAAACAAGTATATTCTACTATAGGATAATCTGACATAAATACACACCCTTTTTATCTGCCTGCTATGCACCAACTTGAGGAAAAAATGAGTATGTGCTCCGCCTAATGGAGATAATTTACCGCTGTGTATAAACATTTCAAATTCAAGAGAATTTATGTATTTGCAATATTCAACAAGTGGTGAATTTCTCATTATCCGAATTATCAACTGAAAGCAGAGGAGCCTTGGGTTTCAAGGTAGAGTCTATCCTTCTGTCCTCTACCTTTCTCCAGTGTGGTATAAGAACCAGGAAAGGTAAGTGTTCCATGTAGGATAAAACCAGGTCCCATTCAATACCTTGTGGGGAATAAAACCTTCCAAGGGTCATAGGCATGTAGCAATAGTGAGATCTAATTTTTCTGCCCTCACCCAAATTCTTTTTCTCAGACTTCCGAGAAGTGAACCAAAGAATCACATTGACTCCTGGGTATTAATGTCTCCATATAGGCTAAATAAGGTAGACTCAATTGCAGCACTGCTCTTTTAAATACTTCCAGTTGCTCTCTGTGACTCCCCATTGGCAGAATAAATACCTATTTTATTGCAAAGATTATCCAATAATTAACTTGGCAAAAACTACAACTAACTAAAGACCATGATGTTTTATCATTAATCAAATGAAAATTTAGAATTTACATCTATGTCCTCTTTGAAAGTGTTTAAAAATATCAAATTACAGAGCATTTGGGGGACGAAATCCTCACCAATCAAAGTCCAAACCCGACTGAGTTCCTGACATTGGTATGTTTTAAAAATTCTCCAAGTAGCCATGGTAACAACAACAATCAAAAAAAAAAAAAAAAGACTTAATAGATGCAATGTTCACATAATTGTGAACAGAGATTTCCTTTGCCATATTAACTCTAGTTAGAAACACACTCAAGAAATTATCATATTCACTCTGGTATTGAAGGAAAAAAAAAAAAGAAGAAGAGAAGAAGGACTTTCTCTCAGATGCTGTTTAGAAACAAAAACCTGAGAGCTCCAGAAATATTGAATCCAGATTTTCTATTGGGATGCAGAATACAGCCACATATGCTCTAGGTTAAACTTTCAACCAAGTCATTTACATTTTTGGGAGAAAACTGAAGGAGAGAGTTTAAACACAAATATGCACTAGGGGTACAAGAAAACAGTTACGGGTCAAGCTGAAACATCTGGTCTTTTTAAGAGTCCTGCTAATTTGAATATACTGACCAAAACAAGCTCAGTTCCAACAAACATATTTTGGCATGGCTCAAAAAACAGGATTTGTTGGAAGTATTTATTTCACCAGAGCAAGATTTATCAGTGATATGCACTCCCACTATTGACATTTTGACATAAGCTTGTTCCAAACACAACATGCAAATTTGCCTTCTCTGCATTTTCCCCCCATATTTGATATGATGGTGGGTTTTAAAAATGTATTTATTCTGTATTGTTTAGAATATGTTGAAGGAAGTGGTATAAGAGGGTTTAAATTATCCACACCTGATCTTAGTAGTTTGAAAGTGAATAATTTATACATTCACTTGTAGGAGGCTTTAACTATCACACAACTACTAAAGCATTAGAGAATTTATCTGAGGTTGCTTCATAGCAATATATAAATAATAAAACTTTTGTGTTCTCCCATAACACACTGACATTTCCCAGCCTCCTATACAATAACAACTTCTGGGAGTTTCCAGCCACCATAAGCCCCGGTCCATCAGAAAACCAAAGTTCAAGCCTCACTTCTCCACTGACAAACCTGCTGATCTCAGGCACGTGGGGCTGCTCTGAGCCCCAGTTCTCTGCTGTTGTGAAAATCATTTGAGGACAGAAGATCCAGGGGTATCATTGCTAATCTCCAACCTGCCTCTACTTCTAAGGTTGTCAATTTCTTTTTTAAGGTCATTTCGGTTGTTTGCTGGCCCTATCATCATTTAATTAATCAAAGTTGTTTTAAATGCAATGAATTAGGACAAAAAGTAAAAATCACTTGTTTATTCATTCAGTAATATGCTTGAGTGCTGACTACCCCAGGAGGCACAAAATAGCTCATATGTATAGTGGACACTCTATATGCCCTGTACAGTTTAAGTGCTTTTCAATGCATTTGCTCATGGACACCTGCAACAATCCCTATGAAGACAGTACTTATTATTGTCCCCAAGTTAAAACTAAGCATATGGGCTCCAGAGCCAAATTGCCTGGGTCTAAATCCCTGCTTTGTCAGCTCATTACATGATGAATTACTTGACTTCTCTGTGCCTCCATTTCCCTACCTGTAAGATAGGAAGTGTCTTGGGGGACTAAGTTAATATATTTGGCTGGATAAGCACTAGAGATAGCCATTGTCAGGAGCTGGTGACAGATTCGTCAGTGTCTTCCAGCCTTCACCACAGCTAGCTCTGCATCTGGGATTCGAACCCACTTCTGTTTGACTCCGAAATCTGAGGTCTAAAAAGTTGTGAAAAACCCCACAGCCTCTCAGAAAAAAATAAAATAAAATACTGCCCAAATCTAAAAAGCATCAAAGGCACTCATTAACAAGGCATTGGAGACTGATGGCTAGCTTTCCCTCTTTGCACCACTGGAGTCATTTCCAGAGGCAGTAATTCAAGAACAACAACAAAAAACTAAAGTCACTCTGTGTCTGTGTTGAGAGACCTGGCAGCACCTGCAAGGACATTTCTCATCGGCATTGACCATGGCAGCCTCCCCCAGACCCCTTTCGCCCTCCCCCTGAGTCTGTCACCTGGACCTACTCTTACTGCTCCGAATCTCAACTTGCAGTTTTGGAAAACTTCATGCAGCAAAAGCTCACTGTCTGCTCTGTGCCTGCCAGATAACAGGCGAGGTGGGCATGCTGAGGGGGAGGGAAGTATTTTGCCCTGCACTGCCATCTCACCTGGATGCGCTACAGGCCTGGCCTTTGACCCTGCGAGTATTTTCCCTCGACGGTATCTTAGCAGGCTTTCGATGTCACCCTGGCATCGCTCAGATTTCACACTACCCTTTAAAAATTGCTAGGCGCCATGCTGGCTAAGGAACTTTGACAGGAGGGAGTTCCAGACTAGAGGAGGGGGTGGCACTCAACGTTTGGTGCTGGTGACTGTGTGGAGTTGGCAGCAGTGAAAGCCCGGGCATCTGGGAGACCCCAGGGGTTCTGGGTGACGGCCATACCCCACCTTCGCTTCCTTCATCCACCCTGCGCTTTTCGGTCTCGGAAGCCAACCCGGTCCCCCGGGTCGCCGGCCGCCCAGCCTTTCGAGCAGCCTGGCTGGGTGGGGCGGTGCCGGGCACCGCCTCCCTCCCTACCTTCTCTCCCCGTGGAGCACGTAGGAGCTGCGGAAGAAGCCCAAGAGCTCGTTCTCGATCAGGGCGTTGTAGATGATCTTCAGGTTGTAATTCCTCTGCGCGTCCAGGGTCCTATTCAGCACCACCACCAAGACCTGGGTTTGCGGGTAGAGGAAAAAACCGGCCACCGGGACAGCACCAGCCACCCGGTCCTCGGCCACCTGCACCTTCTCAACCGCCACCCGGGAGGCGTGCAGCACGACGTAGCGGGTGGCGTTCCGGCACGCGATCTCCACATTGACCTCGCCGGAGAAGGTGAAGTTCTCCATGAAGGCGGTGAGCATTAGGTTGTAGTGCAGCGGCTTGAGGTGGCCGGACAGGCGCAGCTGCGTCCACGGCTGCCACTGCTCCCGCTCCTCCTCCGACGGCGGCTGGGCGGACGGGGTCCCAGGGGTGGCCTCTCCGCCTACCTCGGGCTTCGAGGAGTCCCCGCCAGCCTGGTGGTTGCGCCGGGCGGAACCCGGAAGGCTCCCGTTGCCCCCGCGTGCCGGGAAGCCGGCGAGACCGCCGTCGGCGCCCGGGGCTGCGCTAGCTCCGCACTCGTCGAAGCGCAAGCTGAGCAACACCGCGAGCATGGTGACCGCGAGCAGTGCCACGATGGACACCGCGAAGGCCAGCACGAGCCGCTTGTGCACCGTGATGTGGCGCTCGGTTGTGCGGGGTCGCACCCCCACGGAGTCCGTCCACGGGTCCGAGAGCCCCCTGCCGCCGGCCCGTAGCGCGGCGTCGTTCTCCCCCATGGTGGCCGCGAAGGGTGAGCTGCTCTTCTCAGCCCCCTCCTCCTTCTTCTTCTTCCTCTTCTTTTTCTTCTTCTTCTTTTTCTTCTCCTCCTCTTGCTCCCCCCGCTCGCCGTCCAGGGCCATCACACAGCCTCCTCCTCCTCCCCCGCCCCCTCCGGCACCCCCCGCGGGCGGGCCACCCGGGCCACCGCCGGCGCAGGCATCAGAGAGCGCACGCGGGCCGAGGGCGCGACGCCAGCTGGGACCCTGGAGACGCCGGTCCAGGTTCTTTTAAGACGGGTTCTGGCCGCAGGCGACGGCAACCTCGGCGCCCCCCATCAGCCCCGCCTTTCTCCGGACACTGGCGGCCGTGGCGCCGGGCGGCGAGGTCTGGGACGCACCCAACTTAGGGAGCGTCTCGCTCGCCCCACGGCGCGCTACTTCTCCCGCCGGCGCGAGGCGCCGGGGCACATGCTGCCTCCGCCCCGGTGCGCCTGCGGCTCCCGGCTCGCTCTCCCCTGCTCTCCGCTCTCGCCCGGCTTTCCGCGGGAGCCTTCCAGCGGGTCCTCGGCTAGAAAGAACGGGGAGCGGTGGAGAGGGAAGTTAGGGCTTCCGCTTTCTCTCCCCACTCCAGCGGTGGCGTTCAGTCCTCTGGGTGGGATGTGCTCTCAGCGGCAGCGGCAGCAGCAGCGGAGGCGCCCGAGCCATGCACTCCGCAGCCGGGGGCGAGAGGATGGCCGGGGAAGAAGACAGCGGGGTGAAGCCGGCGGGCGAAGTCCCAGGGCCGCAGAGCTGCGCCGGGAATCTGCCCTGAAGAAGCCGTCTCTTCCACCCGGGACACTTTAAGCAGCGGGGGCGGCAAACGGCGTGAGGTTGCAGACCGGACAGCGAGCCTCCCTCGTTCCGACGTTGCTCTGACCTCCGGGGATGACAAGTGAGCAAGAAGTGTCCGGTCGGGCCATCCCCTTCAGGTAGATGATGCTCCGGGTTTGCTCTGTATCCCCGTGGGGAGAGCCGGAGTGCGTGTGTGCGAGTGCGAGTGTGTGTGCATGTGTGTGTGCTTGTGTGCCTGTGTGTGTACACACAGTCTCCGGGTCCAGATGGCCAAGGCTACTCTGACTGCATTCAGGGACTGAAACTCCCCGAGAAAGGCAAAGGAGAGAGCGAGAGACCGCGAGGAGGCAGGGAAGGCGGGAGGGAGGGGAGCGGCTGAGCGGCAGAGGCAGGCACTGGGAGATTAGAGAGCTTTTCTCCGCTCTGTCACACCAGACACCCACTGCCACAGAGGGGGTTGCTGAGCCGCCTGCAAGAAGTACATTGTAAATCTTCAGCGCAGCCAGCCCGGCAGTCTCCCTTTTTCCCCGACTCCTTAGCCTCACCGCGCCTCTCAGGAGGGATCCTTGGAGCCTTTGGCTATTAACATCGAGAGCAAGGGAAGATCCTGGTGCTGAGACATCAGGCTCGCCAGAGGATTTGGAGGATTGTATGTAAATTGAAACAAATTCTCCAAAGCCTGACTACATATATTATACTGTTGTGATGAGTCCAGGTGTTCAGTATGAAAATACGAGTTAGCAATGAAGCATTAGAATCTCCCAGTAGGAAAGGCTAAATAAAAGAAGCACTTTCCCCCAATGAATAATGGCTATTTATAGATTGGGGAAATGATTAAAATCGAATGCCTACATCCAGGACCAAAAACTTGAGACTGAGAGAAGCTGGGGATCTGAGCCCCATCACTGGGGACTCACTAGAGCAGTGAACAAATATATTCCATGATTGACCAGTTTTTCACTTCACCCAGCCACAATTGCTTTTTTGCAGTTTTTAGTGTTATCAGGAAAATCGTTTTAAACTTTTTTTAGAACAGTTATCAAGAGGAAGTTTTGCTGATAGTAGGAGCATCCAAACAGGTTTACAGACTGTTGGCTGGTTATGGACTTCTAAGTTTATTGAAGTTTTACAGTGCAGAGTGTGTATGAGTATATGGGATATCCAAGCCTTAGGATTTGTGTGAAGAACTTGAATTGGAATAATATTCAGAAAGCAGCCACCCCAAAGCTAAAAACTAAGAGGCAGGAGTCTCCAGTTTTTAATAAAACAAAGTATAATGGACTTCAGAGCCAATAAAAAAATGAAAAATAAATAGAAAATAAAGAATAAAAAGAAGTAATTCCTTTTTACGTGTTTCTTTCACATCTTCAAATCCTGAAGGCATTTTAAAAATCATGTCCCATAATTATTTTTCTTACAAAAAGGAACGTTAAATGCTCCTGGCTTTGTACACATCCTGAAAATGTACAACCAAAATATTGTGTTTGGCTTTAAAAGCATGACCAAACAGAAGAGATGAAATACACATCAACTTTAGCCTGACAACCACTGAAAACAGCCCTGCTCAATGAAGCTCTTTTCTATTTATCCCCAGATGGGATATATTCCCAATGCCATACATTCTAAAGGTCCATTTGAATCCTTTTTAAATGATGATGAAAAGATGTGCCAGGGTGGGATTTTTTTTTTTTTTTAAGCATGTTGTATGTGGGCCGTTAGCAACAGACCAAGGGAAATGCCACATTCTGTTCAAGTTACTTTTTTCTGCTCTGTTTTTAAATCTCCATGCTCTTGCTGTCCATATGTATTTGGCTGTATGCATTTTAAGAGTTGAGGAGTTAGGATTTGTTAGTTTGTTTTGACAGAATCAGGAAATATAGTACAGACAGGCAAAAAGCACTGTGTGACTCTTAGGAGGCCACCAGACTTCCTTGACCGCAGGGGGCTAATCTGGCTAGTCAGGATTATTGACCTAAAATCCATGGATTCAACTCACTATGATTATCAAGAGGAGCCTGGAACCCCCGAGAAGTTTTAGAATCACTGCCTAAATGAAGAGTTCATCCACTAAGGAATCTCTAAGACCTTTCTCTAAAATGATATTAGTCAAGAAAATATTCAAAGAAAGACTTTTTAAATCTTATTTGTATTTTACTGAAGTGTATATGTACTTCTGAAAATTATAAGGCAACTCTCAAATATTTGGGAATTTAAGTATATGTTTACCAAGTAGTAAAGTCACTACTGCCTATGATTAAATTAGTAGATGGATTTTTTTCTTCTGAAATCCACGTGGAACAGAGCCAAGCTTATTAACACAGAGTGCACACAGCTTATTAAAATATTGATTCCCTTAAAATGTAACTTTATCCAATAAACTCAGTATCAGATCAGGTGGGTAAATATTTCTTACTCTTGTATCAGTGTTACAAAAGGGCCCCAGTAAGTCTTTTTTTAATTTCTGAAGGTATATAACACCCTTCCCCTGAAAAGCAAGTACTCTGTGAAGTTTTTTTTTTTTTCTAGAGAATGTCCATTCTACCCTCAAACCAAGAAAAAAAAAGGCAAAAGTTCAGATTGTGTAGGTGACAAAAATATTAAAGGGATGACTCACTAATTTTCCATAAAGAAGTTGCCTTCAGTGTTGTCAGTCACTAAATTGGAGATAGTTTTGACTTTGCTAAATGCTAGGGCCATTTAGTGGGATGAGACTTTTCAAAGTGCCTGACACTTCTCTCAGAAATACATTTATTGCTGGGAGAATTTTATGGTTATTTCTTTAGCTAACAAATGTCTTTAAAGTCATTTTGTAGCCATATTTGATTTAAGGACTTATAAAAGTGTGAACATTTAATATACACAAGGCCAGCAGAAGTTATGCTTAATTAAATCTACCCCTTGGTCCTGCAAATAATCAAAATGAACTATCTTCAGTAAATGTCCTGGCCCAGAGTCTTTACTCTTTGCTGACACCAGAACTGCTTTTTCTTCTTTCACTCTGATTTGTATGAGAGTTAAACTCAAGTGTCCTTAAGTACTCAGTCCTTCAAGTGTGATTAGCACTTCACATCCAGAAGAAGCTTGGCTCAGAAGAAAGAACTAAATCCCACTCTGCCCTCACCTCCATACATTATCTTAACCTGGTTACTTTATAACTCATTTTCTTGATGTGTTAATGTATTGGAGTTAGACAGTTAGCTCAGAGGTCTCTCTGGTTCTCAAAGTCTATGAAAGAAATTCCAAAGCTAATACAGAGTCTCTTTATGCTCTCAAGTGATTTTTAATTAATCTTTTCTATTGAGAAGCCAAACAAATTCAGTGAAAAACTCAAAGTTCAGTGGGTAAAGAGACTTTATAAGAATACACTGTATTAGCAAAAACATGGGGGTGGGGTGGTGTTGGGAGAAAACAAGCCCCACTACCCTGGCAGTGAACAGATGTATTTTCTTTGTGGAATGTGTTCCTGAAGAACCCACACAATTAGAGACCAGTGCTGACAAGGAATGGCAGAAGTCTGTTTACTAGCTGAAGTGGTGCCGCCATGTGGCAATTATAGAGGCAGTTGGAAATTTGAGATCGTGATAATTTTTTCTTAAGTAGGTTCCACACCCGACATGGGGCTTGAACTCACAAACCCGAGATCAAGAGTCGCATGGTCTACTGACCAAGGCAGCCTGGTGCCTGGAGACTGTGATAATTTGATGAAATTTTTAATTTGAGGAAACACCTTATTGCAAACTTTATTAATATTTTATATTGTGTCATTTCAGAATCTCATACCATCTAATCACTGTATCTGTTGACATTGTTGAGGGGTTTCATATAGGAAATACTCTTCTAGATAGAAGAACTTAAAGAGGGAAAGAGGAGAATTGTTTAAAATTAGTCATAATTGAGACGGGGCAATTTCATGATGTTGATAGTTTGTCAAATTCACTAAGTACAATTAACACCTTGATTTAACTGTTAGTTGTCTGACTTCTATTTATTTAAAAATATTGATCTGAAAGAAAATTATATCTAAATTTGATTGTCTCTTTTTCTCACATAAAATCTATGAAATTATCAATTTTTTTAAAAAAAGAAAACATTCCTTAACCTGTTACTATGTGTTTTCAGCCCTAGAAAAGTCTGAATTTTCACCAAAACAGAACAAATCTTACAGCACAGAAAGATGGTGAATCTCTCTAGATGGTGAATATAAAGAAAACTATAACCAAATAACCATCATATCACTCCCAATTCCCGCATTAAATGTTATATCCAGAGAGGAGAGAATTAGGATCTCAAGAAGGTTTATGATCTCAGTAAGAAATTTCCATAAAAAGGCA